GGTGGGAGGCAGTGTCTGGAATGCCGTATGCATGCACAGCATTTCTGCAAGATGAGTGTGATTATTGTATGTCACAGACGTACTAATAAAAGATTTTTCAGGAAAAAAAAGAACAAGAGTTGAGAATAGTCCGGATACTCTGGATTGTAGATGTCAGTAATTTCCGGGACGGTAGAGCAGACAGCACTGGAAGGAGGAGGATGGGGAGGGAGCTGGGAAGAGTCTGGGATCTATACAGCCCACGACTGAGTCCGAGGGCTGAGTTCAGGTCAGGAATAGGGCTGCTGTAGGTCAGGTTGCGGTTGGGTGGGCAGAAAGACTTGTCTTACCCTGAAAGAGAAATCAGGAAAACATTCAAATTTAAGCAAGATACATAGAGAGATAGAGACCAGAGTTTGCGAGCACAGTGCCTTTGGCTTATCACACGCCAGCGCCTGTCGCCCGGGAGGGAGGCAGCTCTGTATCTGAGTCGTCTGTTGGAAGGACAGGGTCCCACCCGTTCTTCCCGGTCTCCTGGGGTCAGCCAGCCAGCGAGTCTGAGCTCAGAGGTGACCGCACCCTTGCGACCCATACCTGGGCCTGAAAGGCCCCGGGAACCCCCGTTCTCCTGAGCTGCTTGTCTCCCTGTCTGTAGAACTGAGCAGACGTGTTTCTCAATGTATTACTCTATGCAAAATAGAAGTGATGGAGCCGACGATGAGCCAGAGGGCAGTGGAGCAGGGAGATCACGCAGCCTGTGGAGGGAGGGTTCCGGCTGGTAACACGACTCCAACACCGAGGGGCCTCCCATGTCTCCCCACTGCGTACGTGGGCCTGGGCCAAAGCATGCGCAGCATCGAGGGCCCGAGGGCCCCAGGGCGACCCCTCTGGGCCCTGCCTGACCCAACTGGGCCTCGGGTACTGTTTACTGAGTGTCCAGAAGGGCTGGTCACTCTACACAGTCCTGAGGGCACAGCTGTGAACAGCTCAGGAAGCCACACACCCATGCACGCACAGGTGCACGGGCACGCACACACATGCACATGCACGCACGCGCGTGCACACACAACTCACCATCAGACGCAGCTTATGTTTTGACAGCCCTTCCTCCATCCCTTTACATTTTCTCTTCTCTTCCCTTCAGTTCTCTACATTCACCGGATGCCAGGCCGTTGCTACACAGGAGGTGCCCAGGGGTCCCCTAAGGCCCCCGGACGCTCTGTTTCTGGGCGCACTCAGGACGCTCAGCACTCATCCTGTCACGCCGCTCAGGTCGCAGCTGTCCCTGACGCAGCCTCCCCTGCCCCTGGTGCTGCCTGCCGGGCAGTGCTCCTGGGTCCCTCCGGGAAACTGCTTAGCTCCCCCGTCGCGCGCAGAGTGACCGCAGTGACTCTGTTCTGGGTCCCGCACCGTGGGCCAGGCCAGGGCGCGCCGCACTCTGTCCTGCTCCTGCGAGCCGCTTGGTGTAGGCAGGCCCGGCAGCGTGGCGGGAGCCGGGTGGTTCCCGCTGCACACGGCAGGCGGCTGCACAGTGCTTGCTTCAACTGCGGGCTTTAACGTCTTGAGGTGAGAATTAAACGGGAAGCCACATGTGCGTGTGTGGCGCAGACCTCTCATTCCAGGACTGCGGGAAGCTGAAGCAGGAGGGTCACACGCTGGAGCTCAGCCACGTATCTTGGCAACTTAGAAAAAAACAGTCCTGGCAATGAAGGACGGGGTGCTGCTCAGGGTGAAAGCGGGCTCCACCCCTGCACTGCAAAGAAAAAAGTAGTAATAAACTTAAAGCTTCACGTCAAGGTGACTCAGGTGCTGCCGCCCCCGGCTCAAGGCTGTCCTCAGAGAGCGGACGCGAAGGCGAGGGCAGCCAGGCAGAGGTCCAGGCCCTCCTCGGAGAGTTCAGAGTCGCACCCCCAGCTGCGCTGGGAGATAAGAGGAGCAGGCCTCACCCAGCCGGTCCCTGGGGCGCACGGCAGCACAGTCAGCGAGATCACCGTGGTCAGCCCGGTCCCCGTGGACACCTGGTCAATCGCTTACCCGGTCACCAGTCACCGTTCGCCTTGTCCATGGCCTCGGGCCCAGGCGCGCGGCTGCAGGAGGACGCGAGCTGCGCCGTGTGCCTGGACCTGCTGCGCGCGCCCGTGAGTGTGGACTGCGGCCACAGCTTCTGCGCTGCCTGCGTGCACGCGCTGCTGGACGCCCCGGGCCGCTCCGAGGCCCCGTGCCCACAGTGTCGCGCAGCCTTCCGTCCGGAAGGTGTGCGGCCCAATCGGCAGCTGGCGGCGCTGGTGGACGGAGTGAGGCGCCTGGTGCTGGCGGAGGGCAGCGCGGAGGACGCAGGGGTTGTGGAGCGGTGCGCGCTGCACGGCCAGGAGCTCGCGCTCTTCTGCCTCCAGGACGGGCACGCACTGTGTAGGGCCTGCGCCGCGGGAGAGGAGCACAGGGGACACCGCACGGCCGAGCTGCAGGAGGCAGTGGAGGAGCACAGGGTGAGAGGCTGGGACACGGGCTGGGAGGGACAGAACAAGACGGAGGGGGCAGAAGAGGAGGGGAGGGGACACCCTCTAGAAAAAGGTCGCCGGAGGAGGGGCCACCAGAGAGGGGACAGGTGTAGTCAAGCAAGGGAAGGCTCCAGCTGAGAGGAGGGGGACAGGTTCCCGCAGGGGCCAAGCAGGAAAGGGGTTGGCAGGAGGAGCAAATGGCACAAGGAAGGGTCATCCCGGGGCCATAGTCCCATACTGGGGAGCACCCGGTCCTGGAGAGGAACTGGAGCTCGGCTGAGTCTTGGACTGGGAGGGGAGAGAGGGGAAAGAGAACGGAGGAGACTGGCAGGGAGGGCAGGGAGGGCGCGACACAGCTGCACCCGAGAGCCCTGCTGGCCTGCTCCAGGGCAACCGGGACTTGCACCCTTCTGGGGAGCTTGGTGTTGGAGGATCTGGCCCCAAGCGCTTCTGTGCAACTCGGATTCTGGCGATTCTTGCTCCAGGCAAGTGCGCCTCAGACGTGCAGATCACAGGCCAAACGCACGTGGAACACCAGGGCCACGGAAGAGGCCCAAGCGGAACACCAGGGCCACGGAAGAGGCCCAAGCCTTCTCTACTGGTGTCTAACCAAAGCACTGCACCGCACTAACAAATCGCACATCCCAGCTTTGTCAGACAGGCCATCACTTTGTTCTGTGTGCTTGTTTTACAATAAGGATTGGGACATTTCACAACGGCTTCCCTGGTGGGGCTGCCCAGAAATAGCTGAGAGGCTGCGACAAGGGTTTTTCTTCTTGATTTCTGCTGTCTTCTGTAAAACTCAGACATGAAGCTCTTTCTGGGTAGATCTGGACGTGTGCTCGCTCTGTGAGGAGGAGACAGGAGACACCCTGGGGGCAGGAGCCTGTGGGTTCTGTAGGCACACTCTGGCCACCGCTTAACTCTGTGTCCCAAAGGGCTGAAGTCCTGAACAAAGAAGATGTCAAGCTTATGTGCATTTTCTAAAGGTTTGCACAACTAAGGCAGTTCTTACTACTATGTGGCAGGTTTGCCACTTCAGCCGGGAGCGTCGGCTAGCAGGATTTTCTGGAGGCCAGACCCTCCTCTAAATTAGCACAGTGGTCCTCCTTTGAAGGCACACAGCTTTTCAAGGGTCACACAACTTCATTTACTGAAGTACAAGGACTTGCCTTAGCACTCCAAGGGGATGATTAGCCTTGAAGGAAGGTGAATTCTGAGAACCAGGACATCCCTGGGTCATGCCAGGGAGCATCTTGTGGTTCTCCTCATCTGCTGCAGCTGTGGGCAGGGAGAGTGGGACCCCAGGAGAGCCACAAGGAACTAGGGGAGACTGCAAGCAGCAGGGGTGCTGGTTACATCTCAGTTCCTACAGCACAGCCAGAGTAGATTTCTCAAGGCGCTCACTGTACTTTCAGTGGCTCTTTCACTGAGTGAGAATAGGTGTTGGGGCTGGGGAGATGGCTCAGTGGAATAAGCACTTCCCAGACAAGTGCAAGGGCCTGAGTTCAATCCCCAGTTCCACAAAAAAAAAAAAAAAAAAAAAAAAAAAGTTGCCTTAAGTCCTCGCTGGCCAGTGGAGGCTTCCTGGGCCCCGAGTTACATTCCTGCTGCTGTGGTTGGAACCAGCCATAGAATCCAATCAGATTAGCCTGGCCGCTGTTGCTCTGGAAGACAGCGCGCTGCTTTGCGCTCCCTGCTTTTGCTTGCCTCCTCTGGTCCGAGGGAGCCTTTGTCCACGTCCAAGTGTCACCGTTCCCCACTCCTGGCAAATAACAAGATAACTGGCACTTTCCTAAAGGGCGCAGAGGCCACTGTGAATACTAACGTTATGTGTGATCCATGAACAGTGTTACAGCGTCCTGCTTTTGGAAACGAGCGACTGTGTGCGGGCCTGGCGGCACAGCTCTGGTGGTGGAATTGGTATTTTTTCCAGTAAAGGTGAATTCCTCTGTATGTTTAGGACGCTCTCTGCAAACAGTCTACACGCCTGCTTCCAGCTCGGGTCCTGGCGTGGGAGGAAGGTTTAATTTCTGTTGTGTTATCGTTTTCTCTTTTCATAAGATTTATAATATAGGTGTAAATTTTTGTTTAAAATGTTCACCAGATTTTTTCTGGCCAAGTAACTATACTAACACTATTGATGATAAGCCATTTTCTTATCATGAATAATAATCACCATTCAATCTAGAACCACAAGACAACAGTACAACTAATAACATCTTTTAGCTCAATCAGATTTCATATATTCACTGCAGAAATATTTTACAGGTGGCATTAAGTTTTATAAAATACAATTAATTTGAGATTGCATCTATAATACTTGTCATGTGCCACTCCATTCCATTTATACACTGTACTATTAATATAAAATAGCTTTGTATTTCATATTTTAATATTTAGTTGCGTATAGTGCCCCTGTTGTAGAGAGCGATGCCGTGAATGAGCTGCTGGATAAGCCTGCGTGCCTGCCCCCGAAATGCTTCTGCTTTGAATTTACTTACTTACGAATGAGCGAAGCGCCCCAGGCCACCCAGGAGCATTCCAGATCTCTGTCCTCCTGGCTGGGCCGTCTGGGTGCCCGGCCCTGAAGGAGGAGCCAGTCACGACCTCTCTGTCCTTGTGAGCAGGTAAAGCTGCAGCTGGCCCTGGAGGCGGTGAGAAAGGAGGCAGAGGAGGCGGCGGAGCAGGAGGTGACCGTGGGGAAGAAGATCGTGGTGTGGAAGGTGAGCCAGTCCTGGGCTCCGCAGCTTGCAGGAGCTGGGCCAGTCCTTCTGTCCCAGGTGCTGAGCCACCCAGGAAGGAGGCGTAGCCCATCCGGGTCCCTGTCCCTTCGGGTTACACTGTCCCACTGCCACTTTTCCTCCTTCCTTAACACTGCTCACCACAATCACAGCTCTACTCTCTGATCTTGCTGTGAGACTCACTGCGGGCAATAAACCTGGAAGGAACAGCTGGCGCAGCTGCGCAGCAGGGTGGGAGCGCGGGGCCTCCGTCGGGGTGGACGCCGGGGCTGGAGGCTGCTTTCGGTCACTCACGCACGAATCCCTTCGCTGCACACAGACAGGCCACTTATTCTCTTACCTACTTCACTTACCCATGCACTGCACGCACACGCACACACACACACACACGCACACACACATGTGCGTGTGCACACACACACATGTCCTCACCTGTGGGTGGTATTCACCCTCTTTTCAAGGGCATTATGAGCTATGTAGAAGTTCTCTTCTGCAGCCAAGTACATTCCTTAGATTCTGAGAAATTTTGGCTGCAAGTTTTGGGTAAAAACCAGTCAAATAATCTGAAGTTAAGTCTGAAGGAAGCCTGAGTAGCTTCCGGATCTTTTCAACTCTGCGGGGAACAATTAAGCCTAGGGTTAAAGGTAGGCTTAGGGCAGGGGTAGGGGTAGGGTAGGCGAAGGTCACAGTTAGGCTAGGGTTTAGGCTTTGCTTAGGGTGAGGGTTAAGTTGAGATTTAGGATAAGGGTTAGGTTAACTTAGGGTGAGGTTAGGTTAGTGGCTTTCCTTTCTGAAAGTTCTGCTGATCTTGAAGACATGCAGTGGTGTGTTGTGCTCCTGGCTTGGGGGCCGGAGGCAGGAGCCTGCAGAACACCCTGCAGTGTGCGCGGCCGTGGCCACATTTCAGGAAACTGAAAATGTGCAGAGAATCTGTGGTGCTTCCGTGCAGTTCCTTATACCATGTGTCCTTTAGGGGGATATTTTATTTATTTATTTATTTATTTTGGCGGAACCGGGGATTGAACTCAGGCCCTTGCACTTGCCAAGGAAGCGCTTATTCCACAAGCGCATATTCCTGGCCCTTAGGGGCATTTCTCTTTTTCCTTTTTTTTTTTTTTTTTTTAGCTCTCCCATCTTTGTTATTTTTCATTCTAATTCTTCCTCCTTTTCCTAAAAGTATAATTACACTGCTGGCTATTTTCATAGGGATTAAAGACTCTAGATTCCTATCTTCTGGCACGTCTTATCTTTCCCAAATGCCTGCAGGGACAGTGCAGCAGTGATTGACAATTTGTGTTGTTTTGAATCTTGATCTGACCACATATGTATGCGATCGAAATCCTTCAGTCGAAGATCTGTTTCCCTACATTATAAAACAGTCCCCTGCTCGTCCCAATAGAGAGGCAGTTCTAAGTGTCTCTAAGCCTAGCAGATGTACACGCCGCTTGCTGCTGATAATGTGTGTCCGTGGGCCGAGTGCGTAGGCGCGGTTCTGATAGACAGCAGCACTGAATTCTAGCTGCGCCTTCTAGTTCTGCAGATAGAACCGCAGTCCGCAGACGGGGGAAGAAGATTACAGTAACGCTTCTGCCCACTCTCCCCGTCCTGACCCCAGCCCGGCTGCTTGCCGATGGCTGAGTCACGGGCCTCATCAGTGCCGCTCAGGACTTACACCACCGAGAGTGCAGAACTCAGAGCTGGCTGGATTTAGGAGGCCAACGATGCAGGAAGCTCGTCATTCTGGAAATGTAGAAGGAGCTGGGACTGGAAATTAGCGGAAGAGGCTTATTCTTAAGAGATGCAAAGAGTGTTGCTTACTACTGTACTTTAAAGCACGCTAGCTTGCATTGTTCAGTTAAACCAAAAGAAGTACAAGATTTGAGCTAAGCCAGGAATCCAGGACGTAACCAGCTAGGGAGAATAATTGGCCTGACATACTCTGTTTAAATGTACTAATCACAACACAGTAACATTTAGTATAATTTATAACTCTAAAGGGGGATTTTTTTTGGCTGGATCAGGATGCCTTAAGTGCGGGTCTGGTAAACCATGAGGATCTTGGGATCAAACCACAGAATCCTGAGCCTCACTGCCTTTGCCTAAGCAGGCACTTAAACAACTGAGCTAAAGGGCAGGCCCCCTATAACTCTAGCTAGGTACCCTGCACGCCTAGATCTACTCAGAAATTTTAGCCACTAGACTTTGGCAGAAGCCAGGCAAAGTCCTGCAGTTGACTATAGCAAGTGCTCTGGGAAGCTTCCAGGTTCTCCTGGACTTTGCAGAAAACATTAGTCATGTGGTTGACTCAGGATTACTCATTGTGAAAGAAGAGTCGTGCCTTCCTATCTCTAAAACTTTTACCTTCGTATCTGCAAATCCTGGTCTCGTCTAGTCTCTCTTCATAGCTCAGTGACTTCTGTGATGTCTGGCCACCAACAGTAGAAGAGCCGCTCTGCCAGGGCTTCCCCTGTGCTGGCCCTGGGCTCAGCACATGAGCAGATTTAACTGCAAGCCCAAGGCCCGGTTTTGGTATGTTTATAGGTGATGCTGAACCTTCTGTATTAGGGTGCCTTGTGGCTCAAAGTCTGTGGCTAAATAGGAACCCACATCCCTGTTTTTCTCAGACTGAGTTTAAAAGGTTTCCCAGGACCTTTGGCTTGTAAGGTTCCTGCACGTTGTTGGAACGCCTCCCCTCTGTCACTGCAACAGAGCTGAAGGACAGGAGACCATACTTACAGAGGGTCAGGGATTCTGGGGACTTGACCTACCTCTCAACATCATAAAATAAATTATGGCATAGGCTTAAAGAGAAAGGGACAACACAATATGGTACTTGAGGAATCCAGGGAGGTCAAAGGCTAGGAGCTGAGGCCAGAAATTTTCCAGGTCACTGTATTTATTGGGTTTCTAAACAAAGGAAGGAGATACAAGGTAAGGCGTGAAACGAGCTGAACATTGGGAGGCTTCGACCAAAGACTTCTCCAAGAAGTGAATTTTCCAGATTAAGAGACCTGTCTATCTGTGAGGCTGACATTTACAATGGGAGCCAAGTGGCTGCAGCTGCAGCCTTATTTTATAAATGCAAGAGAGTGCCAGGTGTCCTGGAGTGCGCATGTCCTGCCTCGGAGGTGTCCCAGGCCAGCGTCTGCAGTGACCCCAGCATGGGGGCTGTGCTTTCTGCTTGGCAGCAGCCTCTCTCTGAACAGTCTATGCCAGGGGCATATGTCTGGGGCAGACTCAGGAGTAGCCAGGAAGCCAGTTGGTTAGTGTCAATCCTATCAGAGCTGCTCTGTAGTGGTGTCCCTCTGAAGGACATCACCTTAGGGATGGAGGGACTGGGATGTCACATTTGTGGTGTCAGGAGATCACCTTACAGAGCTGAGGGTGGGACGGCCTCTCATCCAGCTCCACATCCCCCACACAGCACAGGACTTGCAGACCCATCACTGTCCCTGCTGACTGTTCCCCGTGTCCCCAGGAGAAAATGGAGGTCCAGAGGCACAGGTTCCGGCTGGAGTTTGAGAAGCACCGTGGCTTTCTGGCCCTTGAGGAGCAGCTGCAGCTGCGGCGGCTGGAGGAGGAGGAGCGGGCCACCCTGCACAGGCTGCGGGACAGCAGAGTCCAGATGGCCCAGCACAGCAAGGCCCTGAAGGAGCTTGTGGAGGAGCTGGAGCAGCGGAGCCAGCGTCCGGCTCTGCGCCTGCTGGAGGTGAAGGGGAGGGAGGTGCAGACACTGGCCCCATTGCCTCCTCCAGGCTTGCGGCTCGTTCACTATTGCCAGTACTTGCTGAGGAAACTTTCAGGGCCTGTTGCAGTCCTCAGACCTGACGCCCACTTCTCCTTGCCTTGCAGGGTGTGAGAGAGGTGTTAAGCCGGTATGTCTGCTTCCCTCATGGCCCGGCAAGGTCGGGACAGAGCCCATGGTAGGGAGCACGGCCGACAGGGAGCACGCTGATTCCTGGGGTGCTGTGCCCTTTGCAGGAGCAAGGCTGCCGCACGGCTGGAGCCTGAGGCCATCCCCCTGGAGCTCAGGACTGTGTGCCACATCCCTGGCATGAGGGACATGATGAGAAGGTTCCAAGGTAGGCGTCCGGGTCTGCCTGCCTCTGTCCCGCCCAGGACCACTCAGCTGCAGCGACAAACAGAACCAAGAGTTTTGCAACAGAGCTCACAGGGATTTGCATCAGGGCCCTGCAGGGCCAGGTGCACCTCCTCCTGTGCCCATCCCCCTCCCCCAGGCCCTGCCAGCTGCTCTGCCTCCTTCCTTGGTGGACACTGCGGGATGGGAGGACACTTCAGAAAGCAGGCCCCTGTCTCCTGTAGTGAGGGCAGCACACGGGGCACAGGCAGTCAGCTCTCAGTGATTCTCACTGTGTCTACCTCACTTCCTTTGTTCGCTGTCAACACAGGGGCAGTGTCAGACCTAACTGGGAGGCGGTCCCTCATGGCTGCCCTACTTCAAGGGACAGGGATGGCAGAGGTGGGTGTGTCCTGACAAACCAGCTGTATGTCCAGTTGGCTGCAGACCTTCCTTGGGGCCACGTGCTTTGGTAGAGCAGCTTGCAGAATCCCCGTCTTTGTCCCTTGTTATGGAGGATGTCCCACGGGTGCAGGCCAGCAGCTGCCCGGAGCTCCTGTGCTTGGCATCCCGCAGCCCTCAGTCCTTGAGTTTCAGGAGGCTTCCTGTGCAGACAGTTTGGAGATACATCCCATGGCTGCCTGCGGTGCTCCCAGGCTTCTCTGAAAGCTGCGAGATTACCTTGAGATAAGACCATGTCATTAGCATCCCAGCCTTATTCCAAGGGTTGGCATGAAGTATCTCACTGTATTATCACCGCAGGGCTCCTGCACGCGGGCAGTCTTTGGGCCAGAGGATGCCGCTTAGTGCGGCGCATGCTGCGTTAGCAGAGCTACCGGTTCTGCACGCTCATGCAGAGCTGAGCAAATGCATTTGGTGGGCTGGACTCTACTGTTAGGGAGAACTGCTCAGCCTTCCACCATCGTCTGGCAACTACACTTTCTGTTCCTCCTTGGTCCTTGAAGAAGAGTTTGTTGGACTAGAAGTTCCAAATTCTAACCACCTGGTTGGGTCTCCGAGCTAGCAACTCCATCCCGAGGCATTCCAGGGCCTGGGAACTGGGTTCTAGGTATTTGCACTCTTATCTCTCTGGAGGTACAAAGTTACTGCTGCCACTCTGAGACTTCTGTGGTGCAGGGGCTGAATGGGGTGGAGACCTAATGTGCACTCCGTAGTGGCGCAGTGACTGCTGTGCAGCTTCTAAGGGAGTTGACGCCGAGTGGGACACTAATGAGGTGGGAAGAGGAGGTCATAATGGGTTCGGCATTTTAGATCTCGAGAACTAGCATCAAAACTGACACAGTGGCCCACACTTGTGACCCCAGCACTGAGCAAGGCTGAGGCAGGAAGTTGCAGTGATGAATGAGGCTCACACCCAGACAGTTAGCAAGGGCGTCCCTCAAAATAAACAGGAAAATGGGTTGGGGGTGTAGGAAAGTGGGAGAGCACCCCTGCGTTCAGGCCCCAGTATCAAACACCGACAACAGTAAAAAGCCTGGCATCCTGAGGTTGCTGCTGCCCTGGTGGCTGAGGCTGAAGGCGAGGCGGGAGGGGCACAGTAAGGATCTGAGGCAGTGCTGAATGCTGACTATGTGCATCAGGAGAGAGGTGAGTTTACAGGTGTGGAGCTTCGGAATGGCTCAGCCAGAGGTTCACCTTGTAACCAGCTGTCAAAGGAGTAGAAACTAATGAAAGCAGAGCTTGGTGAAGCAGATGACCTTAGAAAGGGTCAGCCTGGAGCAGGGAGAGGCCTGGACCAGGGACACAGTTCCCAGTGACGGCAGGCAGAGGACAGCACAGCAGATGTAACCAAGAAGGGGCGCGAGGCTAAATGGAAATGGGAGATGCAGCCAAGAGGGGGGCCTGCTCGATAGTGCTGTGGGCCAGGAAAGCAGGAAGGTCTGATGAGAGGCAGGTGTCCACGTGGAGGTCGGGGGCCCTTAGGCAGGCATTGTGCTGCATCCTGTCCCAGCAGCAAAAGAGCCTATGAGAGGCGAGGTAAGGGCCAGGCAACACCTGGACTCGTAGCCCCGAGAGGCGGGGGCGGAGGGGTGATGCCCTGCTACACTTAGTGACTGAGGGAGGCAACATCTCTAACACCCTTTTAAACAGAGGAGTAGAGGCTGGTGATGCAGCTTAGTGCAAAGGCCTCGGGCTCAGTGCAGTAGCACACACCCATGCCTCCACACATGCATGCACACACCGGTGCATACCTGCACACACGGGTACACACATGTGCACACACACATGTATGCTCGCATATGCACACAGGTACACACATGCACACACTGGTGCACACATGCACACACGGGAACACAGATGTGCACACACACGTATACTCGCATATGCACACAGGTACACATGTGCACACACCGGTGCACACATGCACACACAGGTACACACATGCGCACACACACATATACTCACATATGCACACAGGTACACACGTGCACACACTGGTGCACACATGCACACACAGGTACAGACATGTGCACACACACGTATACTCTCATATGCACACAGGTACACACATATGCACACACATGTATACTCACATATGCACACAGGTACACACCTGCACACACGGGTACACACATGTGCACACACATGTATACTCACATATGCACACAGGTACACACGTGCACACACCGGCGCACACATGCACACACAGGTACAGACATGTGCACACACATGTATACTCACATATGCACACAGGTACACACATGTGCACACACGTGTATACTCACATATACACACAGGTACACACATGCACACACCGGTGCACACATGCACACACAGGTACAGACATGTGCACACACACATGTATACTCACATATACACACAGGTACACACATGCACACACCGGTGCACACATGCACACACAGGTACACACATGTGCACACATGTATACTCACATGCACACAGGTACACTTATACACACATGCAGGTATACACATGCTTGCACACATGCACACACAGGTACACACGTGCAGGACTCATGCACACAGAGGTACACACATGCACACACATGTACACTCACACATGCACACAGGTACACATATACACACATGCAGGTATACACATGCTTGCACACATGCACACACAGGTACACAAATGCACATGCACACAGACATACACACATGCCACACACAGGTACAAACATGTGCACACACTTACACGTATGCAGGACACATGCATGCACACAGGTGCACACATGCACACACATGTACACTCATGCACATGCACACAGGTACACATTTACACACGTGCACGTATACACAGGCACACACACAGGCACACACACAGGCACTCACACATGCACGCACAAGGAAGCACACATGCACACACAGGTAACGTAGGTATAGTAGTAGCAGTAGTAGCAGTGTGTTTATTATGACATAAAAGTAGCAGCACATTAGTTAACCTGCTGCTTTTGGACATTCACAGGGGCAGCACCTCCCTTGCTGTCAGCAGGAGCATCACCTGCTGCACGTGTCCCTTAGGGAGTGGTCGGGTTGCAGCATCTTGCTGGGTCTCCTCTGTGTGACAGTAAGGTTTCCTTTAAAGAATTTTGGTTAAGTAACAAACTATCACAGGTTCACCTGCTTCCACCCACACCCATTCCAGGCTCACTGGCCACAGTGTAGATGTCCACTTGGGATCAGCTCTGTCCTCTGAGTGGGGACCTCTGAGGCTGGTTTGGACTGGGAGCCTCAGGGGATGAGCTAGCTCACAGGCTGTGGATGGGTGCAGGCCCAGCAGCTGAGCCCTGAATCTGGACTGCTCTGAGCTGGGGAACCTGGCCTGCTCGTGTGTGACTCAGCAGTGACCCCAGTTGGAGCCAGCTCTCCCTGGCCTGGCTTGTCCTTTGCCTCTGTGCAATGGCTCAGGGGGTGCCTGCGGCCTCCTCCTGGGCTGACCAGTGATGACCTGGCTCCCTGTGGGGCTCACAGCCTGCTCATCCCCTCCCACAGTGGACGTGACACTGGACCCCACCACAGCCCACCCCAGCCTGCTGCTGACTGCCGACCTGCGCTCAGTGTGGGATGGGGCGCTTTGGAGAGACGTCCCCGGGAACCCCGAGCGGTTCGACACCTGGCCCTGTGTGCTGGGCCTGCAGAGCTTCTCCACCGGCAGGCACTACTGGGAGGTGGAGGTGGGCAGCAGGGCTGAGTGGGGTCTGGGCGTCTGCCGAGACTCGCTGCCCAGGCAGGGCGAAACCACCCCGTCCCCTGAGAATGGCGTGTGGGCACTCTGGCTGCTGCGGGGCTCCGAGTACATGGTGCTGGGTGTGCAGTCTGCGCCGCTGCTACAGCTGTCCAGGCCAGGCCATGTGGGGCTCTTCCTGGACTACGAGGCTGGGGAGCTCTCCTTCTATGACGTCACCCACGAGTGTCACATCTACACCTTCAGCCAGCTCTTCTCCGGCTTCCTGAGGCCCTACTTTTTCATCTGCGACAAGAATCCTTTGCTTCTGCCTGCTGTGACGGAGGCAGAGTCAGGAAGTGGGGCATCCGGGGCTGCTCCTGACCCTGATGGCCCCGAGATGTCTTCCTGAGGGTGTACTGCTGCCTGTGAGGTCCTCCAGGGGAGGCTGTGGATGTCAGGGGTGGCCAACTGCATGTGTGTCCCCTTGAGGTCTCCACAGGACAGAGAAAGCATGGGGAGTGTGGGGAGGGGCAGGGTTTGGAAACAAAGGTGTCGCCAAACCTTTCCCCCTGGCTCCGCAGCCATTCCCCATGGGTTGTCTTTCAAATTAAGGATCCTACCATAAGAAAAGTCCCCTCAGTATTCATTACAATGTCAAAGTCCATTTGCCATCCTTTCATATTTTTTTTTCCATACTGGGGATTGGACTCAGGACCCTGAGCTTGCGAGGCAAGCGCTTATTCTACTGAGCTATCTCGCCCAGCCATTCTTTCATTCTTGATATTGTACCCATTAAGGCTTAGAGACAGCCGCTCCTCTGTGGAGTCAGTGCAGTCACCTTGGCGGGCACCCTAGTGACCAGTGGTGGGTCCTTCCCAGCCTCCTCCTGTCCTGTTCAAGGAATTCAGCAGAACAACCCCTGAAGGTGAGAGAGGAACACTGATTCAAGGTGAAAGAAGGAGGAAGAGAGCAAAAGAGAAGCACTGAAGAAGGAAGTGACCCAAAGAGAAAAGCTCCGCAGAGCACCAGTTAGAGCAGGAGCGGGCCGGGGGGACCCAGGGCCGCTGCCTCGACTTTGGGTGTAAGACCCCCCACCCAAGCCTTTTGGGCTTTCTGCTGTGAGAAGGGCCAGGTAGGGGTGGCGGAGAGCTCAGTGCACAAGGTCCTGAGTTGGATCCCTGGTAAAAAAAAAAAAAAAAAAAAAAAAAAAAAAAAAAAAAAAAACCCAAGAGGAGGAGATGCCTGAGCGATATTACTAGACTGAGCATCTATTACTAGACTAGGTCAGACAGTCAGCCACAGGCCACAGGCCACAGGCCACAGGCCACAGGCCACAGGCTGTGGCCTCCTGTGTTCACCTCCTGCAGGAGTCCCTGTTCCCGGGAACCATGCAGCACCCTCTCACATTGTATGTTCTCTTATTTATTCAGCTTTTAATTTATTGGGTACTTTTCCCATGTGGTAGGTGTAAGCATCCTGGGGAGGGTGTGTTTGTTGACCACGATGCATCTCAGCATACCCTGAGGCCCTCGAATACAGCTTTGCACATGCTTCTCTCTGGATGCACGTTGTTGACTGAACGAATGATGGCCACTCTGGAAGGCAGAGTTAAATGTGGATCTGAAAGTGTAATTGAGGATGGTGACATTACAGGTGCGGGTCACTAGGTAACTGCCGCGCAGTCAACTTCTACGCCAGGTGCTAAAGGAGTGAACGTGGCTTTCAGGTGCAGAGAGGGGTGAGATGGAAGCCAGGGGTGGAGGAGGGGGGTTCCAGGTCGGTGAGGACTGCCTGTGGCCCAGGCAGCCCTGGGGTGGGGCCCCTACTGTAGGTGGGGCTCCTGTGGCCCCGTGGTGTCACACGTGGCTTCCTGCCGCTGGCTGTCTTTCGGGGGGATCTCTGAACTACTCATTTTTACTGAAAGTGTCTTGTGGTTCTGTGTCCCTCTTTGTCGAGGTCGCTGGGGAAGCAGCTCCCTGTGAGAAGGAAGTCTCAGCTCACTTCCTCTCCATCTCCTCCTCATCCCCTCTCTGATCCCTGTTCTTACATCTTGAGCATTCCCTAGCCACCCTATTACTAATTTTATCCTGCCTGACCTCTCCTTAAGCACTGGGCAAAAGTGACCCAATTCCCTTCTTACAATAGAGAATAATTACAAAGATGCAGAGACCCTAGGTTTAACCCTCAGCACTGCAAAAGAAATGGAAAAAGAAGAAAAGGCATCAGCCGTCAGCCCGCAGCACTGGCTTTTCCTGGCCTGTGACGCTAGACCCAACGCGTGGGTCGCTGGCTCCCTCTGTCTGTGCTTCAGGGATCCAGGACTTCTGGAGGGGCGGGCTCTCCAGGAATGAAGGAAGACCTCCTGCCTGTGTAGGTGTGGAAGCTGGGTCAAGGAAACCCACGGCGCCTCCTAGGTGGAGCCGGCAGGAGCAGGAAGCCAGACACCCCCACCAGCGGGGGAGAAAGGGAATACGTTTGCAGGACGGCGACTTCTGCGTCCCAGAAGGCAGACACTGGAACAGAGGGACTCATTAAACCTGTCTGAGCCGCTGGCCTGGGCACTGTGCGAGGCTGGGTTTGCTCTGGGCCTCCGGGGCCCTGTTCGCCCTCGCACGGGAGGGTGCGTGCAGTGCGGATCTCTGGGGTGGCCCTCGACCTGTCCATGTGCCCCACGCACAGACCCTGCTGAATCCTCCCCGAGTGGCGATGCGGGCCCACAAGTGTCGTTTCTCTGACGCCCACCCGCCCGCCGAGGACACCACAGGGACTTTCTGTGCTTGTCTGTGTGATTATCTTGAGCTTTAGCCTCGCCATGTTGCCTTTTCCTCACAGAGCAGTAGAATATCGGGCACGTTTTCCAAACCCAGTGCTCTTGGAGCCCAAGATATTTGCTTGATGTCTTCCCAGTTAGTTCTTGAGACTTAATTATGAAGCCCTGCAGACGATAGCTTGTTCTCAAATTCCAAAGTAAAAGCAGACCATCCTGGTAGCTGGCTTGTAAGCTACGGCGGACCCACCCGTGTGGAAAGTTCTTTCTCCAGTTAGGACATCAACCCTTTCTCCTCCAGAAATACAGTTATTAGCAAGGAGCCGTAAAGACATTTTCGCCTGACTTCAGGAAATCTAAGAAGAAAAGCACGCATCATCTTGGTCTAGGAGCGCTTCAGCAGACGCCGCCTCAGCTGCTTTCTCAGCTGCTGAGCTGTCCCTGGGAGGGGAGGGAAGCGCGAGTCCCTGGGTATTGGTGTGTTTGGAGCTACAGTGAGCTCAGGACTCTGACTGTGCTTACGTGAGGAACCAAGCAATTTCTGTATCAAGGGACAAATCCTCCTGGTCCCCAGTTTCCATGGTGACTCATTGGGAGATGGGAGTCTTGGGGGGCACATGATTTCCTGCCTCCGTGCCTGCTGGTGACCCTGGGGGTGGTCGCAGCATCCCCAGAGCTTGCTGATCTCCCTGGACAATGCCTCCCTCTCCTCAGGAGGGCGTCATCAGCCCTCTCCGCATAAGCACTGCAGCCAGTGAAGAGCTGGGAGCAGGCCGAGAGGGCTCAGCGCCCTCTTTCTGCAGCCGGTGGCCTGCTCCTGCTGTGCCCCAGAAAGCACACAAGCTGACTCCCAGTGCTGCAGCCTCCTGCAGTCTCCTGTACAGTGGCCCTGCCACCATGCCGGTGGACTGGTGAGTAGGGGTTAGGGTTGACGGGTTCCTCTTGAATCTGTCCCCTCACTGGGTTGACGACACTAAGCTGCCAGGGTGTGGGGTAGCTCGGAGCGCTGTGTGGGCTGCATCAGGCCTGGCATGACGCCAGCACTACAAAGAGGGCAAAGCCTGGAACTCATCAGAAGGAGGTGAGAAGACCAAACCTGAGAAGTAAGGTTTATTTTACTGAAAGAAAAAAAGAAAGCAAATTTCAAAGGCAAGCTGCGGGTGGTGGGGATGGGCGGGAAACCACAGGCCCTGGTGTGCTGTGTTTATGGCTTTCATTCTGTTGCCTGAATTTCAAAGTCTTTGTTCTTCCAGCCTGTGACCTAGTTTGAAATAATATGTAAGCGTAAAAACAACTAACTTGAATTTTCATTCAAACATTTTTAAGTTTAAGATAAATTAAAAGTGTTAGTCCCATGAGCTCATCCCCTCTGTACAGGCGGCAGCTCCCAGCGCTGCTCCTCTGCGCCCCGGGTGGGCTGCTGCTCCCTGCTGCGCGTCGTCTGCACGCGCGGTCCCCGGACCTCACGCGGGGGGAGCTGAGGTTCGCCGACGAGCAGCCCTTCCTGCGGGGGACTGCTTGCGCAGCCCTCTTTCTGGCGGCACCGCACCCCAGCACCGACTATGCAAAATCTTCAGGCACCCCCACCTCTCCCGTGGGACCAGCGATGCGACCTGGTCCTGCCCTGCCCTGGTCCTCCGGCAGTCTCCGGACAGGCGGCCAGGGGCGCCTGGCTCACAGCGGCTCCTTCCTGTCGTTCCTCGTGGAGGAAGCGGAAAGGGGTGGGGTGGCCAGCTCGCCACAGCAGGAGAGCAACCGGGGCCCCCGGCGAGTCCACCTGGCACAGGAGAAGCCCCAGTGGGGGACAGACGCCTGGTGAGGTCACGGTGACCACAGAGGCCGCAGGGTCCCGCGGCAGAGGCACGGAGAGCCGTGAGTCCTGCCACAGCCCCGGAGAGGGTCTCTCCGGGGAGGGGTCTTCCCCTTCTAAATTCAGTGCTGCCTAAGTCTAAAAGGAGGGAGAGGACAGGACGTGGGGTGTCTGCTCCTCCCGAGAGCCCGAGTCTTCTGGGCGGAGTTGGCGTGGGCACCGCGGGCGCTGCAGGGCTGGGGCGAGGGCGGCGCCCTGGCTTCTAGAGGTGCGGGTTGTTCCCATCTATGAATACTGCCTGAGTGCAGTGGAATCAAGTTTGAGCCAACACATTTGTGCATATCGCAAGGATTTCAGTAAGAAAGCCCCCGCCGCAGCGCAACCCCATGTTCTCCATACTTGAAAGATCGGAAGAAACTGCCTTTCGTAAGCGGCGGCAGCCTCCGTGGCAGAGCTCACGGCATGTGGGCCCGAGCGTCGTGGCCCGCTCACCAGCGCAAGCCTGCCCGAGAACTCTCCGGGCCTCACCTCGCTGCCGAGGCAGAGCCAGGGGAGAGCTCCGCTCTGGCCCTGAAGCCCCAGCGCTGGGGTGCTGCCCGCAGTAGGTCGTAGGGACCCCGGGGGTGGCACAGGGGTGCGCGCTCCGCAGCGTCCACCGCTGAGCTACCGAGGTGGCGGTGGGAGGCGCAATTTGCTGTTTTGGTCTTTCTGCTCCCTCGTATTTCTTCCTACTTCAGCTGATTTTGAGAAAAAAATGATTACTGAGTGGGAGGGACAGAAGGCCTCTGCAAGGGGCAGTGGCTGCACCGCGGCAGCGCCTCACGGCAGGATTCTAGGAAACAGCCTAAATGTCGGCTACTGTATTTACACGTACCGGTGTAGACTGTGAATCGCAAGATAGTTTGCTACCGTCCTGGAAAGGGCCAAGGACCAGCGGCAGCTTCCTGCACCCCGCGCCCTGGAGCGCGTGCTCCCAGGTCTCTGTTTGGATTTAGGACAAATGTCCCTACGTGTACAACCCGGCAGATGTGACGGAGGGCAGTCCCCGGGCAAGCCGGTGTGCGTGTTTCCTTTCTCCGGGTGCCTGAGATTATTATTTTTGTGGGGAATTCCAGGGCACGTCACATATCTGCCTGAATTCAGGCATCCTTTTGTCAAGTGCTTAATGACACCCCAGCACCTGAGGTCTGCGACTCAACGCAGGTGTGCTGCTGAGCCGTCTGCTCCCCGATTCTCCGCAGAGGCCTCTGGAGAGGGCGGGTCTCTGAGTGGGGGTGGCTGTCTGAATCTGGGACCAGGAGGCATGGAGAAAGCTAGTCACGGCCAACGGGATGGAGCCATGCTTTGTTAAAATAACCGTGCCGAGCCAAGATACGCGTGTGTTTTAAATGAGGGAGTTTTCAAAACATTTCTGTGAAGGGAGCTTTCCAGGTTCCGCTCACATCACGGTATCGCGGGCAGTGAGCTCGCTCTGCACCCCGAAGCTCAGGTCCCGGGGCATCCACTTTGTGAAAGGACACCTAGGAAGCGAAGCTCCTGCGCTCTGGTGTCCGGCCTCGGTGGCCAGCGGGAACCTGGCGCTCGCGTGAGTCAGCTGTCTGTAAGGGACTGCTTTCCTGAGACATGTTTCTTTCGATCGTTCTCGTTTTTGCTTTGCATCACGTTTCTCGAGAAAGTTCTGATGAAATACTTTAGCAAGGAAGCCGTTTGACTTTTGAAATTTCCCATCACTCCTTCTCGACTCATTAGCAGTGTTTCCAAGTGCGTGCATTTTTTATCATGTGAACAAATTTTCTGTCGTTTTACTTGACAGTATTTGACAAATGGCTTTTTGCTTGGGAAATCTTTAATCTCTGATAATCGGCAAGGAAAGAAAAAACATCATGCCTTCTTACAGTATTCTTTAAAAAGTATTTAAGTATATATTTTGTGATGTATTTTCATGTGAGTGATAAAGAAGTGATACCTACTCTCTGCCTCTTCAGCTATTTTGTCACTTCCGCATTTTAATTATTACAGTTTAAAGCATGTTACGCATATATTCATGTAGTGTTCCTTCAGGGATTACTTTTTCCCTAAAAAGGTTCTCGCCTAACTTTATGAACTTGTTTTCATATGCCCTGATTATCTGATATATCACTTTGATTTCATATACAAGGAAACTTATAAATGTCTATACATTTTATATTTATATGCTGTGTTTCTTTTTAAGAATCTTGGAAGTTATCTGTAAAATGAGAGAGCTTTAATTATTGCCAGTGAGTGTGAGGAAACATTGAACGTAAGGGAGGGTCTAAAGCGCTGTGGACCGTGTCGAGCTCCTTGGGTGGTAGCAGGGCTCTGCGGGGCCTGTCTGTGCCTCCCTCCGGTCAGCTTCCTTGTGTCTGCTGCGAGGCTGGGAGGACGTCATTAAATAGGCTGCCCTGCAAACCGTGCCTGCGAGGGGCGGAAGCTCAGCAGCATCCCCTCATGTGCGCCAGTTGTTGGGTTCACACGGCATGATCCATGACAACATTTCATGATTTCTTTTTGTCTCAAGTGTAAGGATCCCCATGAAATGCTCTGTTACTTCGGGAGCTGCCCAATTAAAGACAGTAAGAAGGAGAGGGCTTCAAGTCCGTGGGAAGCCGTGGCTCCTCCAGGGCTTCACTGCTCGAAGCTCCTGTCCCGAGGCCTCATGTGCACGAGCGGCCACCAAGCTGCACTTTGTGTCCGACGTGGTTGGCCTTGGGGAGTGCACAAGAACTGGGGAAATCCCTCCCTAGGCATGTCACGGAGATGGTGGCACCGCAGGGTGCCTTATGGGGATGCTCAAGGCATGCGAGCTCGCTACAGCAGGCCTGCGTGGCGCCCAGTTACTTCCCAGTGTGGCGCAGGTCAAGCAAATACACTTGCTCTTCTGCTTACTGTTGTTTCCTGCAATTGAATTGGTACCACGTATGGTCAGTGTTTTGGTGCGTAAAGTTTTATAAATTGAAACTTTTTGTAGTGCTGAGGATTGAACATATATATCTCAATCGCAAGCTGACCTTGAGCCTGTAATTCTCCTGCCTCAGCTGCCGAGGTGCTGGAGGAGTCCTGTGAGGTACAGCACCGTGCCTGGCTAGATAATGAAGTTTGCAATAGGTTGAGGTGCATTTTCCAGTGGTGCATGTGGCACGTGGCATGATGTGGCATTGTCTACACGTACTTTGTGCATTCCTGAAATACCCAACTTATCTTAATTGTTGATATTTCCAGGCTGTGTCGGTCACTGTAGAGTTTCATCAAGTTACAGCAGATCTCCAGCGCATCTCCCAGCGCGTGCACGGAAGGCGCCTCCACGTGCCAGTGGCCACGCAGAAGGCGCCTCCACGTGCCAGTGGC